GGCCCTGTGGGGTATTTCATCCCAGGAACACCAGGAGGGCACCCCCAGCTCTGCCCAAACACAAATCCTGTGTGTGACGGGCAGGAGAGCTTTAAAATCCCCAAATCCATCAAGTTTATCCCAAAAACTTTGCCAAAAATCCAGGCTGCTGGAAGAGCCCTGAACTCCCTGAAAAATGGCTTTTCCCCACGAAGGGACAATGGGAAGGGTCATCCCAGTCAGTTTTGGGGCACTGGGGACAATGCCACGCCGGGGCCGCCGGCCACGGGACCATTGCACCCTCTCCAAAAAACGAGGCGAGAGTCCGGCCGGAGCAGCCAAGAGCACAGAGTGATGAGGAGAAGGAAGAGGAGGAGGAAGAGGAAGGAGGAATGCTYGGTAGTTAGTGGGTGCTGGCTCAAAGGATGGAGAGCTGGCGTTACCTTTGTTGCGGTTTTCGGGGGCTCCGCTTTTTTTACCTGTTCAAAGAGAGAAAGGGGGCAGGGCTGAGCTGGCCGGCCACGGTCACCCTCCGGACACCGTCACTTTCCGGACATGGTCACCCTCCAGACATGGTCACCCTCCGGACACGGTCACTTTCCGGACATGGTCACCCTCCAGACATGGTCACCCTCCGGACACGGTCACTTTCCAGACACGGTCACCCTCCAGACATGGTCACCTTCCAGACATGGTCACCCTCCAGACACGGTCACCCTCTGGACATGGTCACCCTCTGGACACGGTCACCTTCCTGCCACAGTAACCCTCCGGACATTGTCATCCTCCGGACACCATCACTCTCCGGACACAGTCACCCTCCAGAATGGTCACCCTCCGGACACTGAAACCCTCCGGACACAGTCACCCTTCGGATATGGTCACCATCCAGACATAGTCACCCTCCGGACACAGTCACCCTACGGACATGGTCACCATCCAGACACGGTCACCTTCCGGCCACAGTAACCCTCTGGACATTGTCACCCTCCGAACACTGTCACCGCCCGGACACGGTCACCCTCTGGACACGGAAACCCTCCAGACACGGTCACACTCCGGACATGGTCACCTTCCAGATATGGTCACCCTCCAGACATTGTCACCCTCCGGACCCAGTCACCCTATGGACATGGTCACCATCCGGACACAATCACCCTCTGGACATGGTCACCCTATGGACACGGTCACCTTCTAGACACAGTCACCCTTCAGAATGGCCACCCTCCGGACATGGTTACCCTTCAGAATGGTCACCTTTTGGACCGTCACCTTCCAGACACGGTAACCCTCCCGACACGGTCACCCTCCAGAATGGTCACCCTCCGGACACCACGCCCCGTGTCCAGCTGGGATGCTTTGAGGGGCCACTCCAGCAGTGGCCGGGCATGGCCAGGCACCGTCACCCTCCAGACACGGTCACTCTATAGACATGATCACCCTCTAGATACGGTAACCCTCTGGACATGGTCACCCTTCAGACATGGTAATGCCCCGGACACCGTGCCC